CTTCTGTTTTCAATGAAGCAAAAATAAATTAATAAAAATCTTGTGGGTGCTAAGGGTCCGTCTGGCAGGGCTTCTACTTTTTGTAGAATTGTTTTTTGAAGAAGTTACTTTAGACTAACTTTCCCTATCATTTCTTCTAGTCAAATTAAACACTTCCAGAAAATTATTCAAATATATTAAAATGCAACTTCTTAGTTTCAAGAGAAGCTTTTAGCTTTTCAAAAATCCTTTAAACGATCCTTAAAACTAAATTACTCATATATCAGTCGTTTATGGACATTATATGATTTACTGTTACTGTCAAAGTAAGGTTGCACATTTTCTCACAAATTAACCAACATCAAGAAGAACACTGGCTGCAGCTAATTCGATTATGAAATTTTCAAGAGAAGCTTTTAGCTTTTCAAAAATCCTTTAAACGATCCTTAAAACTAAGTAAGGTTGCCCATTTTCTCACAAATTAACCAACATCAAGAACACTGGCTGCAGCTAATTCGATTCTGAAATTTCATTTACATGTTGAGCATAATGTATAAAGATATATGAATGAAATGCTCCTATCACGCAACTGAAAAAATTGTCTTTCTGTGCATTCTCCTCTCATTACAACGACTCTAATTGTATTTAACATCGTTAAGCTAAGGCTTGATCCCTTCTCCTTTATCATAGACTGTTGTTTAAGGCTACATAAAAGTCATGCGATTCGTGCTAACTTTGTAAGTCATTGGATGTCTTCATTTAATATCGTGAACTCGTCTGTCGAAAGACTTGCAAAACAAGACCTCGGGAACCAAAGGTAAGCGTTATTGCACTCTCTTCTCTCCAACAGTTAAGAGAGTATTGTAATCGTGGATGAAATTTGACACGAGTTCTTACCTCGGAGTTGAATTGTAGGAAAACTGATTTTCTAGGTAAACCGTCACATCTCCTGAGAAATATGTGATAATCATGCTCATTATACGTAAGGGTCTGATTAGATATATTCGAGATCAGGCTAGTGGACATCTCAGAAACAGGTAGACAACTTTGGTGCCTAACTTCAAGAGAAGTTTCACATGTCACATATCTCAAGTCAAATGGTTTGCCCAAGAGGCGAGAGTCATGTACAAGACTGGAAAATTGATCCGCAATATGTTTGAATCTCTTTCTTGCATTCTAATGACTACATAAAAGTCAAACATATAGCACATTTTCTTTCCCTTGTTAAGGTTTCATTTCTCACTTGAGTTGTTTCAGTTACAACTCACAGCATGTTTGATTCTCTTTCTTACATTCTGTTAAGAGTCTGTCAATTTTTGTCCGGTGGAGCACTTTATTTAACTGAACTGTACCGATAACTTACAATTGAAATACAAAACAAATTGGAAAATGAAAAAATCCATTGCTGGTTCATCTGTTATAGCTGCTGTTCTGGTTAATCTCCTGCCCACTTGCTGATGTGACACTTACGGTTCTGAGAATTGTAAATAAGATTCTCTTTAAGTGAGTAAGATAAGGAGAACATTTCTGTAATCTCCTAATACCAGATACCACATTTCGGGATCCAAGAGCTCAGATTTACAATTTTGTACTAAATAGTCTCTGTTCATTGTTTTGAAGCCAAGCGGAGCGAAATTGGAGTGATTGGGAAGGTGGGGGAGGCCTCCAACCTCGTCAATACCGTCCATTTTGAAATATGCTTGTTATAAAATAAAGGGGCTTTCTGAAAATTTTGGCACACAAATTTTTAGGGAATTAGACTACTTTAAATAGTAGTTATTTAGGAAACAAAAGGAGCACAATTACACTCATTTTTTCTAGACATTATTGGAGATCAAATTGAGAGAAAAATACAAGGCAAGGAACTAGAGTTTGGAGAATTCAAGCAAGATTGTTTTTCAATTTCCTCTTTTTCTTTATAAATCCGGTGATGCATTTCAATTTCAATTTATGTTTTCTCGTACGATAAGCGTGGCTAAATTTATTAGTCTGATCAAACGATATAGCCTTAGTTCGAATCAAGTTTCTAAAATGTGCGTGACAATGAATTTTGATCAAGCATCAAGCATTAGAAAAATATGCGTGCTTATACGTTTTCCAATTTTAAATATTATAAATTGATAAATAAATAATATAATGCATTTTTTGAACTTTATATATATTCTTTAATTTTTGTAAAAATATATATATAGTTCAAAATCATAAATACTACAATTACTTGAACTTTATAAATATTCTTTAAATTCTCAACAAAAAGATATTGCTCAAAATCATAAATACTACAATTATTTAGTAATCAATTCATACGATTAGATTAGACACGAACACCAAACTAAAAATTCTATTTCAACTTAAGAATTTCTATTACCTCTTGTAGGTGGTAAGATATTATAGTCAACCACCTCCTAATGACCATCAACCATCCAAGATTGTGCATTACTTGCTAGCAAAACTAGAGAAAGACCAAATAAGAATGAGGCTTGGGTTCGATATGTATAGTTTGCAACTCTACGAAAAATTTATTTTTATTTTTAAATTTTTAAACATCAAAATCCTACATATTGATTTATACAATTCATGGGCTTGGGTGATGTGGGGCCAATTTGATGTTTGTTGGGTTCAATTTACCTCTTTAAGTTATAAAAAATGGATTGGACTTTGTTAGACCAATTTTAACATAATTTTTAACTCAAATGAATGCGCATTTTAACGTTTAAGTGTGCATACGCAGTCAACAAAATAGATTAACCGTATTATCATGTGCATATCCCATATGCAAGGCATTTTGAAAACGCATCGAGCATATGCGAGCATATACGAATCATATGTGTGCATTTTAGAACACTGTTCAAACCCTTGATTTTTTATTATTATTAAAGACTTAATTTTTATTGTATTGTATTGTTTTAATTGTCATCGTGATTGCAATTAATTAGTTGTCAATAATTAATTGATTCGTGAACGGTAACGGGCTACCATGCGAGTTATTTGTTTAGATCAAATAGTAAAAGTCAGTAATTTAAGTAGAAGATAGAGATATACTTCTAAAATTATTTCGATCGTTAAATGATTTTTTGGTGGTGTAATGCATTTAATTAGGTTGAAATTCATATACAATTATAGCGAGTTTACTTAATTAAGTAGAATTAAATTTGCACAAGAGATATTTTCAATTAAATTTGAGAAGTTCTGTCAAATAAACATGTTAATTATTTTTAGTGAATTTGTATGATTAATCAAATGGAATAATTAAGATTAAATCGTGAGCCCCAGCACATTTTCTCATTATTTTTTATCTCAAAACCAAATGTGCCGATTATTAGAAATAATATCCTAGTTTTAGTCTAAAAATTAGAATAAAAACACTTTCCCTGTTAAATTTCTGCATCGGTTCAAATAAAATGTAGGATTAATTTAGATCAATAATAAGACGGGTTTTCACGGGAACGATAATATGTACTCATTAAATTCACTTTACTATGAGTTTTACAATATCTTACATTTGAGATTTTTACTCAAACAACTGGAAAATCAATTTATCCTGGCTCGCGTGTATTTAAAAATTCCGACAATGTGGTCCTCATTCCCATTGTGAGTAGTAGGTAAAAGTTCGATAGAAAAATTCGGTACATATAGCATGATCCGAACCTGACCTTGTTATATAAAATTTTCAGAACTTTTGGTTTGTTTAATATAATAGATTCTAATACTAAAGAATAAACCAGCTTGGCTCTTACACTTTTCAATCATACGAATGCCATGTACCACCTAAGACCATGAGATTTTGAGGAGCCTTTGGGTTCCTAATCCCGCCCATGCTGCCATTTTCCGTCGAACATTTCACATTATTTTTGAAAGAATTTTGCCAACTAAGAACATTAGGAAGTGGAAGATGAGAAAATGAATCCACGTTATTTCACTTCGAAATCATGTTATCTCCATAGACCAATATCTT